TTTGTCATTTCAAAAGGTTCAAAGGTCAAAATGTTTGAAAAAATATATTCATGTTTTCGTCGAATGACTGACATTCATGAAATCACTCTGTATTCACTGATTCACTTTTTGGATGTTTTTTGTTGTTACTTTACAAAACGATTCCGATTCTATTCCTACTCAAACAAACTACCAAGTGATGATAGCAAATGATGATGATGACACATCCCGATAAATTTAAAAGGCTAATCGACCGATCCGATTCAATTCGGGTTTTCTGCTGTCTGGTTACTATACCATTACTGGAATTGTTCATCAAGTAAGCTTATTTCTGATTGAAAATTTTTTTCGTTTGTTTGTTTCGGATGCCATTTTCGGATCATCATCATCATTTTTTTTTTATTGAAACCAGATTTTTTTTTGAAAAATTTTAAAATTTAAATCTCACTCACTATATGTGTCCATTTAATGGAAGCCAAAAAACCAGAAAAGGAAAAAAACCTTTTGCACATCACATGGCGTCCACAAATTCCATGTTTTGAAGAAAAAAAATTCCGGTTTGGTTGGTTTGTGATTTGGATAACAAGCGTAAATAACAATAAAAATTGCTGGTCATCAACCAATCAACCAGCCAAACAAATTGTGTAAATTATTTTTATTATGGTTTTTCAAGCTTTGTAATGAAAATGCAATGCACAATGAATGAATGAATGATGATTAGCATAAGACACATCCTTTATTCAGTTATTCAATCAACACCCTTACATAGAAACAAATGAAAAATGATTGAAAACATCATCGCACAATGCTGTTTTTGGCTAAATTAATCCAAACCAAGCCATATGGCATGATTATTTGTGTGATTGTCTAGACTACCACAACCACAAGTTTGTAAATGATAATAAATTTTCATTGTAAACACACTAAAATGTCACCAATGTCATCATCGTATATATAAATTCAAAATCTAACTTTGTAAATAAGATTTATATATTTGCCCAGGAAAAGCATATTAAATTCTTCTTTTTTTTGTTGTTGGATGTTTTAAAACAAACAAACAAAAGGTCAATGACAGGTGGCGAAAATCATAATTTCATTTTTCATTGGAAATTCCTTTGAATTTAATTTTTTCAAAAAAATTCCAAAAAAAAAAAAATTTTGATCAAAAATCAACAACAGTGTTTTGGTTATGATAATATTAATAAAATGGAAAATGATCGATCAATTTGATTCGATTAACCCGAGTTTCATTCAAAGAGAGAGATGGCGAAAAATAAAATTAAAATTGAATTCATCCACATAATTTGATAATGAAAACACAGTGAAGGAATTTTTTTTTTGGAAAAATCTGGTGAAACGAACGATGCCTAAGGGTTATTTTTTTTCATCACCATAAGTTTGGGTCATCAAACCGAAATGAAAGTCCGAAAAAAAAACTGAAAATGAATATTAATATCGCATCAAATGGATTGTTTTTTTTTTGGGAAATTTTCTGGAAAAAGTAAGAAAGAAAATGTCAAATGTCAAACAGAGAGAGGGAACGAAAACAATTGAATTGTCATCATTTGGGGCAAAACAGTTCTCGAATACAAAATTATTGGTGGTGGTGGACAAACACACATTTGTGATTGACACATACACAAAACAAAACAAACAACCAAATATCAATTGAATATAAAGAGAGAGAAATTCATATATGAAATGATGACAGTCACTTGATCTAATTGTTTTTTTTTCTTTCTCGCAAAAGCATTGACCAGTCCAAATGTCCAATTTCGATATAGAATTCAAACTAAACTAAACAAGAATCTGAATAGAAACTATATTCAGATTTGGCTTCATCATCATCATCATCGTTGAGAATCAAGAATCAAGAATCGAGAATAACATACACAGGAAATTGACCAAAACAAACCACTAAATCAGTGAGAGAGAGAAAACAGAAAAAAAATTAATCAATGAATAAATGAATGGAACGGAAATTGAAACTAAACATACAAACACAAACAGAACAAACCGAAAAAAGTTAAAATCGTGGCAATAGTAATCCACGAAGCGAATTACCGAAAAACGAAAAAATAACGAAATAACGTTTCTGACCGATCGATAATTTTCGTTTTTTCGGGTTTTTTTGTTCGGTTTCGATTGATCCAACAAAATTTCCTCTCTCTCTCTCTGTTCAGAATGTTATTGAACTTTTCTATCTTCGTCGTTCGTTCGTTTGTTTTTGCTGATGTTGTTCATTACAAAATTGTATTCAGTTTTTTTTTTGAAACAAAACCCCGAAAAGACTTTTAAATTTTTCAATTTCAATCGTAATCGAAATCGGGGTACCAAACAAAAAAAACAAACATGAATTTCGATATGGATATCAAATTCATGTTTTTTTCCTACAAAACTTTTTTCCCTTTCAGGATTCTGTTTTTTTCTGCGCAACAAGCTTGGAGAAAAATAGAAAAAAATATTCTTAAAGATCATCAAAATAACACAATAGATCAAAGTCATTGGGCCCGTTTATCATATTAAATATCTTTTGAATGTGATGGATAGAAATAGAAGAAGATGGAAGAAGAATAAAGAAAGAATTTGGCCACTTCAATTTCGTGATCGGACGAACGAAGAATCAAGAATCAAGAAGAAAACTTGATTCCATAAGATTATTCTGGAACCCAGAATAAACGAAAAAAAAAGAAAGAAATTATTACATGTCGCGATGCATGATGCATGAACGACATGCATGCATGCCTTCACACAAAAACATCCAGTGTTCCAAATGGAACAATAAATTCAGTGAATAAACCAAAAAAAAGAAGAATGTTGTCGCGTGCTGTTTTCTTATATGTGTATATACGCTTTTGGATGACAAATACAAATACTGAAAACTGAAAACTGAACAAAAACCGGGAGTAAAAGAAGATGAAGAAAAAGTTATTGCAAATGTTTTTTGGTATTCACAATTTTTTTTTGTTTTGTTTTGTTTGTTTGTTTCACTTACTGGACAAATATGCCGGCTGTTTGTATACATTTGTTGTTGTTGTCGATGTTTTTTTGCTTTGTAAAAAAAGAAACAAATTGCATCGACAAGTTTGACATTTTTTGATGATTTTTTCGTTTTGTTTTTCAAGCCGAAAAAAACATTGATTCAAAAATTTGATGCAACCAAAAAAACAATGCGAAAAAACGAAAATTTCACAAAGAAAAATGAAAAACCACACACTACGAGACCGTGAAAAACATGACCAGAGAAAAACAATAATAACCAAGTTGAATGAATGAATTAAGGAACGAACAAAATTTTTTTGTTACATTCCATTTAACTTTGATTTGCCACTTGTGATTCATATATGAATGGATCAATGCAAAAAACAAAAACAACAAAAATGTAAATCGACCCAAGGATAATTACTACTTAACTGCTGCTACTTACTATTTTATAATCATAATCATCATTTTGGGTAACACAAATTAATTAATTAATTCATTAGTGTTTTCTATTACTAAGTGGATGTTTGTTTGCTTGAAAATCATTCAACCATTCAAAATGGTAATCGGTTTTTTATTTCTATTTCGTAGGTTCCAGGTGATGCAACAAACAACAAGAATCGAATTCAAATCCCAATTCTTCTTCTTGCTATCCTGTTACACTCTCACACACATCACTCTCACTCACTCACACTACTCATTTAATCGATTAATTACATCGGAAATCGGCAATCAAATTGGCAATCAAGTAAAACAAAACAAAATAACATTTTGTTACATTCACAACAATCATCATCATCAATATCAACATCAACATCCGAAATAATCTTTTTTCAATAACATTTGACAATAGTAATAGTAACAGTAGCAGCAGTAGTAACAAAGTGATCAATCTCTTTAGATTCTTTATATTTTTTTTTGTTTCTCTTCAAAACACAAGAAGAAAAAAAAGAAAGAATCCAAATTGATCGATGACCCTTTACGAACATTTTATTATTTTCTTTTGGTTCATTGGCGTTATTCTTTCTTTTTTTGGTGGATGGGTTGATGTTTGGCAAACGAAAGAAAGAAAAAAAAATTTATCGATCCATTTGAGTGAATATAGTGGAGAAAAAATCCTTTCCGACAACACTTTATGTTTTGAATTGAATTTTGGAAACAGAACAGAAAAAAAAGCAAGGGATGCCGTTCTTTTTGGATGATGTGAAAAAACAGACCATTTTTTCTTTCGTTTGTTTCGCTTTGTTTTTTTTTGCAACATCACTTGAAACAATTTTTTTTTGGTTTGGTTGCAGTGTTGCAAACCGATTTAATTCTGTATTTTGTAAATGTTTTTTTTTTTCGTCGTTGTTGTTTTTGGATAATTAAATTAAACACGAGCTTAAAAACTGATGATCGTAATGGTGCCTGTTTTTGGCAGGCTAAAATACATACTTCTAGGATATTCAGGAGCAGAGAGAGAAAAGCAAGCAAGTAAAACCAAAGCCTTTCACCCAAATTAAGCTAAACTAAGCAGAGAGGAAAAACAAAATCATCCAGTTGAACATCCATACAGATATGATATGAACATTATTCATGTTAACCAAGCATTCTTGGATAGATTCTGGTTCTGTTTCTGATTCTGATTCTGTTAAGTTTTTTATTGTTTAATTTAAAAAAAAACGGTCGGGTTTTGGAATTTTTTTTTGAAAAAGTTTTTTTCTGGGGTGTTTTCTAAAATATCATCTCTTTGTGATGTGATGACAGCATAGCCATCATCATCATCAAGAAACGTGATCCAGAATTTACTTTACTTTTTTTACTTTTTGCTGGATTGGCTATCCGGCTTTTGTCACGGATATAGTTTTCTTTTTGGCGTGTGTGTGTGTGTGTGATCGAGCAAAATCGACCAACAAACAACAACAACAACAACGAAAAAGTCCTGGCACAGCTTTTTTCTAGGAAATTTCCTACTCTAGAAAATCTTTATTTCGTTTTTTTTAGTATTTTGGATTTTGTAATGGAAAAAATTCATTTCAAAAGTGCAAAAAAAAACTAACCTTTTTTTGGTTATCGTTGATTGATTTTGATTTTTATCATCGTTATCATTTTCATCATTACATGGATTATTGTTCGCTGTTGTTTTTATTGTTTTTGATATCATCATTATATCAAAATGTTCACATAAACTTAATAATTGTTGATTAATTAATTGTGATTCATGATCATCATCATCATTAATAATAACACCGTTTTCATTAGTCAAAGACGAAGAAGAATCTTTATCTTTATTATTATTAAGCGTTTGATATTGATGATGATGATTAAAATTGATTGTTTTTTGTTGTTGTTGTTGAATTGTAATTTGATCCATGCTCAATTAACAATTATTGTTGTTGTTGTTATCGTTGTTGTTGTTGTTGTTGATATTTATTCCGGTAGAAATTCTTTCAAAATGTAAAAAATTGTTTTTTTCAGTCATCGTTGCAATCTGTGCTAGAGAAATGGAAATGGAAAAAATGAAAAAAAACGTTTGATTTTTGAGTTTTGATTTTTTTTTTGAAATTTATCGATATTTGGAATCGTATCGAATGTTACCCAACGAATAAAATCGATAATAAAAACAAAACGACATTTCGGATTTGAAAACAACAGTAAATTATTTTATCGTTTCATATTCGTGAAATCAATTTGATTTTTCTGTTTCTGTTTTGCTTCTGTTTCGAAATCAAATATGAATAATTTCTTTGGAATTCAAAAAACATAAATGCGATCATAATCGCATTTATGTTTCGTTTTTTTAAATAATAAAACCCATTTTGCTTGAATTTATAGTTTTTTTGCTTTGTCAAATGACGGAAAAATTCCAGAGTAATTTTAAAGACAACAGATTTCTCTAGCTATTTTCCTTGGTTGAAAGAATTGAATTTTGAAAGAAAAAAAAATTAAAATCCATAAAACTTTTCCAGCAAAAAAAATCCATAAATGAATGAAAATTATGATTATGATTATTATTAATAACAATGACGATAACTAAGCAAAAATGAAAAAGAGAAAATCCCAATTCCAATAGTTAAGATAATTTATTGCCAAAATTTTTTCTGTTTTTTCTGTTTTTCTGTTGAACCATTTTTTTCCACCGTAATTTCGCTCTATTTTACAGTGTTTTTGGTTTTTTTTTCTGTTTTTCCTTGCAAAAATTGAAATTCCTTGATTCTACTGGCCAACTACAAACAGCAGCAAAAAAAAAATGAAAGATTTGCTATCTTGTGGATCATCTTTTGTTGTTGTTGTTGTTTGCTTTGTTTTCTCTGGCCACACTGATATCATAATAATGATAATGGCAGCGGACACAAAACGACAACCAAAACCAAAACTGAAAACAAAAATAACGAAAACACCGACACGCACACTAAATCTCAGCAAAATCAGTCAAGTCAGAGTCAGAAACAAAACAAAAAAACACCGTTATATCTTGTCGGAATCCTCGACTAACACGGAAAAAAATGATGATGAAAAATTTGAGGCAGCCGAGAGAATTTCATTTTTTGCTTTTTGCTTTTTACTTCTGTCTTTCGGCTACTGATATTTATTATCTGGCCATTATGATTATCATTATGGTTGTTGTTTATTGAATCATTTTTTTTTGTACTGGAAAAAAAGTGAAATTAATTTCAATCTTGTCACACAGAGATATAGTGATGCATTTTCTGTTTGTTTGTTTGAAATAAGAATGGCCAAAATGAAAAAAAAGTTTTTAAAATTAGACAATTTTTCTTTCGATTATTTTTCTTCGTTTTTCACAAAGAGAAATTGAATTTGAAAATTACAAATTTTTTTTTCTTTTTTTTGGTCTACCATTTTCAATTTCGATACGAAATGATACATCAAGAGATGGAGAGAGAGACCAGATGGAGTAAAATAAACGAAATTAATCGAAATACTTCATTGATTTGATTATCTTATTTCGTTTCGTTTTTTGTTTTTCAAATCAATTTTCATTTCAGTATCGATCCTCTCGGATAAATTATCCATGAATTTTTTTTCGTTTTGAATCATCAAAAAATCAAAAAATCAAAGTAAACTTTTGTTTAAAAAAATTCATTTAACTTACCTTTTTGTGTCGAAATAGTGCAAAATATTCATACACACACATCACACAAAAATTGATAAAAGTTTCTGTCTTTCTTTCACCACGTACCACATACAAAAAATATGCAAACAAATCAATTTTGAAAAATTTTTGATCAATAATTGAAATGATTTTCTTCAGTTAGTTAGTGTCAGTATCAGTGTCAGTTTAGTGTAGAAATAGTTTTTTTTGTTGGGTAAATGAATGAATGAATGAATGAACCGCATCACTTGAATAGTGAATCATGAATGGAGAATGTCCATGTCAATCCTACTTTTAGAATCATTCGTTTTTTTGTTTTGTTTCATTCAAACAATATAGCCACCACATACCACCACAGCCAGAATGGTTGAAGAAAGAAAGGAAAGGAAGAAAAAAAAGTCAAGATTATCAAATGATGAAAAAAAAATCACAATCCTCATTTAAAGCGCGCTTGCGTATCATTTTCAAATCTAAATCAATATGAATGAATGTAACAATATTGGCGCCATCTTTTGACGGTTTTTTCAATAGCAAAAATTCCCTGATTGTGAAATGCTTTCTGACGTCATAATTTTATTGTTTTTTGTTTGTTTTTTTAGTTGCAAAATACCGGTAGTAATTTTCCTTCATTCAGACACTATGTCATGGACAATTTGTTTGTCTGATTGATTGATTGATTGCTTTGTTGTGACTATTTGTTGCTCAAGATTAGTGGTTGAAAAAAAAAATGGATCAACAAGAAATTCTGGTATTATCCAGATGATGGTGGTTTAACGATGACAATAATAATCCACAAGAGAGAAGGATTATATTTGTAAAACCAAATTGTATTTGTCGTTAGATTAACCGGACATTATTTTGAAAAAAATTGGCTATATAAAATACTGGCCAACTGTTGTTTTGTTCTGTATTTTGTTCTGTTTTTTTTCTGCTTTTTCTGCTGTTGTTTGAAAGCCATGTTTGACGTCACCAAAAATACAAATTTGCATGTAAAAAGTAAAATAGAAAATGCCGGCTAACAACAATTCCATGGTGACAAATTTTTAGTTTTAGTTTTTTTTTCAAAAAATTGGATTTGTTTGTTTGTTTGTTTATTCTCATTATTATGCACACACACACACAAGATATTCTTATGTCGAAATGACAAAAAAAAAACTTTATCAATTTCGTTATTGGATTGAATTTTTTTTTCTACTTCTTTGCTTATCAATCAAATCAAATCAAATCAAAGCATATGATTAATTGATTGAATGACTGTGGCGGATGTCTTGCTTTTTTCAATGTGCATTGTTTTTATTTCCAAATCAAAATCGATTAAGTTACGACAAGCGTTGTGTTTGTTTGGTTGTTTGCTGTTTTCAATTCAATTGATTGTGTTGAACAATATGGATATCAATTTTCAATATGCAAATCATTCAACAAAAAGAGAGAGAGAGAAAAAATGAGTGAAAACAATGCTATGCATTATTTGCTGTTGTCATCTTTATTTTAAAAAAAATCCGTTGAAAGATTGTAATGAGAGAAACTGAAAAAAGTTGTCATTGAAATAATAGTCATTTTTTCATTGAAATTTGCATCAATTTTCTTTTTCTTTCATTGAAATTTTTGCATACATCATTGCAGGTGGATGCCGACAACGCTGCTGCTGTTGTTTATCATTTACCAGAAAAAATGAATAACGCCGCCAAATTGTTCATCAATTAGGTATGTATCAAGCATTATCTTGTTTTTCCCCCTCCACAATCAAATTGATTCAATAAAACATAGAAAAATTTGACAGATTGATTGATTGATTGAATTTCTTTCGATTTTTTTTGTTCAAACAAGTTGAACAAACATTTGTCGGAAAAAAAAGAAAATAATAAACGCCTGTTTATGAAATGAAACAAATAAAGAAAAGAAAAGAATTGTAATTGATAAATTAACATGGTGATGATTGACATTTCATCATCATCATCAACATTTGATTGATTGATTGATTGAAATGTTTTATATTTCTGCCCAAAAAAAGAACGAACCGACTAAAAAAGAATTGAATTTTGTATATCGAAGCAGATACGATTCTCCTTTTTTTTATGAATGAATGAATTTCATTTTTAAATCCATTAAAAGTAGGACAAGATATTTTTAGCAAAAAAAAATTTTTTTTCCTATTGATCGATTGATTGATGAAATTCATAGTGTTCATTCAGTGTGTCGATATAGTGAAAATTTTTTTCGAAAAAAAAACTTTTGGAATTTTCATTTCGAAAAAACTTTAAATTCAAAAGTTCTTTTTTTTCGAACATTTCTGAGCACACCTGTATAATAACAGTTTCTCTCGTTGCAGTTATTGTCATTTTTTTTCTGGTGCAAATGTTTGTTTGATGAGTATTGTTTTTCCTTTCTATATGCACATGTTTGTGCATATTACCTAGGCACCCATTCATCATCATCATCATCATTGATACATATAAAAAATTTGTTTCTGTTTCTGTTTTTGTTTCTGTTACAATTTCAACATTGAAAAACAACAACAACAACAACATTGACTTTTCTTCAAAATTCACTGTGTGTGTGTGTGTGTTTCATCCAAAGAAAATGATGATGATAATTATCAATTATTGCGTCTAAAAACATCATCATTATCATCATCATTTTGTAATAAACTAATTAACTTTGATTTTGATTTAAAATTTGATTTTGATTTTTTTTTGTTGGTCCATAAAACCTGGAAAATATATTTATCACCTAGTCATAATTATTGTGCTTTTACCTGTCTTTTCCTTCAAGAATTGTTATTATTTTAATTTTGAAAAGTCGCCAATTCCAATTTGAGATTGTAAAACTAAAAATGGAAAAAAAGAATTACCATTACTAATGATGACTGAAATAAGATAACAAAAAAAAAATGACCTCAATAGATAAGCGATTTCACCAACCAAACGATAAAACGAAATTCATCTTTTTTTTTAAAAAAAAAATGGCTATAAAATGTAACGATTGACGTCAATCATCATCATCATCATCATCATTTGTTTTAATTACCTCATCAAATTGCCATCAAAATCAAATTGTAAACAGTTATTTGTTGTT